AGGTGCCTGATGATGAATTTAACCTGAAAATCACAGTACTAAAAATATAATCCATAATCCTACAAGTAGCTTGCATGCTTCACAGAACACCCATCAGTATTCTTATTGATTTCAACAAGACGACTCAAATGCACAAAGATAATCATCTGCACGTGAGCTGCTCAGTTGGGACTTCTGCGTTCCCAGCGCATCCGAAGGTCTGACCATCTAATTCACCATGATGTGGTGGCATTTAGCAGCTAACATGCTGCAGAACTTCCTGTAACCTGAGGGGTAGGGAGAAAGAGTTCTTTGAGGTTGCCCCACATACTCTTTGTTTTAAAATAAACTATTTTACATACATTTGCTGTTGAATTTTGATGCTGTTTTCTAGAAGGTTGGCGATGTGCCCTCACTAACACAGAAACCAGGGCCAGAAAAGCCATACCAAATTGTCAAAGCCCACCTCACCAGAAAAAGGCTGTGCTTTGTTAGCTTTTATTTGCTTTTACTCAGACATACAGTGTCCATCCTCTTTCCTGGAAAGTGTTTCAAGATCTCACTGAATTCACCATTAGGTTCAGAGTCGGGAAAACTTCCTGACATTTTCACTTTTTTGGTTTCTTCTCCTTACAATCAGCAAAACCACCCCACAGTAAATCAGACAGCTCTCTGTTCTTGGTGGTAGTGTGCATCAGATTACTGTAAACCTTATCTTGCTCCATTTTTGATACCGTCTTGCCAAGTTTTAAATTCCTACATGTTTACAGTGATCTTTCCTTTCCCTTAATCACTTCTCCCCTCTTTAAATTGAACTCACATTTGCTGGCATTTTGCTGGGGCTGACCTGATCCAGATGCAGCATTTCATACAGTTACCCTTCAGGGGCAGGGTTACCAGACATCCACGTTTCTCTTAGAAACAACCCTTTTTTTCCTCCCCTCCCCATAAGAAGTGTTGTCTGTGCAGAATTGGAGGATTTTGTCTGTTTGTCTGGGATTTTGAGACATCTGGCAGTCTGGGCAGTTGGTTAATGAGTATGCACTAATGAACTCGGCAGCACACAGCGCGTCCAGCCCATCCATAGAAATGTCAGGCTGATATACGCTCTGTATTTGCATCTGCAATGCTGCTTTCCTTACTAGCTTTTCTTACTGCTGACTCTCATCTAAGCTTCTTACTCTGTGATGTTGATCAATGTTGTTTTCCTTGAATTAGCCAGGCTTTTTAAAATGTTTTAACACCAACTACAGAAGATGTGGAGACAAAGAGTCTAACAGCTTTGCAGCTTTTTCTCCAGAAGGAAAAAACATTACTCGGAATGCATAAAGGAAATATCATGAGAGACAAAGGAGGAAAATAAGGGAAGGAAAATTTCCTCACGAGGAGGTTTTAAGTAGAGTCTGGCAATAATCTCCCAAAGGAAGTAGTGGAAGTCTGATTGCTTAAATCGATTAAAACTAAACAGAGCATCATACTCTACAGGGCCCTGTGAGGAGAAAGCAGAGCTGGGTTGAACTAAAACAGGTTTTGTACTCTTCTTTTGTACAAAGCTGCTGTTGAGATTCTGCAGGTAGATTCAATATGGCTAATGCTGATTAACCACCCTCTTAACGGTGACTATCACTGCATTATTTCCAGCCAATTCTTCAGTACCCTGAACTTGTGAGGGTGTGGACATACAAAACACAACTTCCCTCCTTCACATTTTCTTCCAAAACTTCAGGTGCACAAGAGAGGTCCAATTCTGGGCTGATTTGAAAGATAAGGGAAGCAAGCCCCTAAGAAGCTCAGATCTTTGCTTTGCTCTCCTTGGTTTGTGCTTCTTATTCTTTGTTCTTCTGGTTTGTGTGTACACATTGCCTTTTCTCTGCCTGTTTCCTGCAGCCCATCAAGTCCATATTAATTTTGCAGTAGAAGTGGGTAGAGGTAGGAATAATGGAAATGCGCAGAGGGCTGGGAAGCAGAAACTCAGTGTACAAGCTTGGATGAGGTGCTCTGTGGAGGCTTCCACAAATTAATCTCTCTACTTAGACATTAATTTACATGAAAAATAAGGTTCAAAAGCAAATAAACCCTGGATATTTGGCATCTTATTTATGATAGAGGAAAAAATAAACAGATTATTGCTCATATTTGTTTTACCCATCCAGAAAAGCTTGCTTTCGTATGTAAATAGAGATGTATATCAAAGAAATGGCCTATTTCCTTTCTGAAACATAGATCAACTTGGTTTCATTCATTGTTTTCACTGGGATGCATCAGTCAGGTCAAATCACATTAAAAGCCCGCTCTCACCTCCTCCGTCAGAGATGTGTGATTGTGATCTATGCAGCTTTGAAGCCTCTCCTGCAAATGTGTGGAAGCTATTGCTGCATGCCCACACTTCCGCTGTTGCTCTCCCAGCAAAGGAACCGAATGTGGGCAGTTGCAAGGCTGATGATGGGAACCCGCCATGGCCTCCATGGAGGCCAGATCAATACTTAGATTCAGTCTATAGAGACTGTGCTGCCTTTAACGCTTGCCAGTGACCTTTAGAGGCATTTACTGTCAACGTTATTGCTTGGGTATTTTCAAGTGTTGGCACTTGAGAAATTCCTCCCAAAGGGCAATGAGAAGCACTGGTGCTTGGAAGGAAGCTTTCCTCCTCTGGATCTGATCGGTGGAGGGAGGAGAGTTGTGTCGCTGAGTAAGAAGATATCAGCAGCTGGAATGAAGGCACATGCTGGACCAGCATCCTCATCCTCCTACACCTGAGGGATTTGCAGAACGTTGCAGGGAGGCTGATGAATGTGTTCTTGTGCTCCGTCACTAACGCATCCAGCACAGAACAGCTGTAAATCTGTCCTGCTGCTGTTCCATGCTGCCTTATTGGGAGCGAAAGCCTGAGTCAGCACAGAGATGGCCTTGCTCTGGAGTGCTGTGAGTCAACCCCAGGCTCTGCAGCCTGGGGAGGCAGGTGAAACCCTGGCCCAGCACGGAAAATGCTTTTAATTTGCTTTGCAGTCGTTCCACCTAGTGGCCAAGGGGCACCACTGCCAGGAGAACTGGCTTTGTGCTCCACAGTCCCTGCTATGCAAAAGTGACCCGAAAACCCCAGCTGGTATTTATGGCTGCTCCTAGGGACCCACACTGCTGCTGAGCTTATGAAATGCATAGTAACACTGAAGATCTTATCAAAAAAATACTGTGAGTAGCTCATTAAGTTTCTGAGCAATTTTGTTAATCATACTGCATAGATAAAATGCAGATAGGCCTTTAGTGAGCTGATAATCTAACAAATAGGCAGAAAGTGTAACACTGATAAGGCAGAGATCAGTTTAATAGCCAGCTGTTACTAGGCGGTTCTGAACCGGAGGAATACTGTAAAACAGAAATGTGCAAGTGTGTAAGTGTGTGCATGAAAATGTGCTGCTTCTTAAAATAGCAGATAGAGCAGTAATATTATGTAAGGAAGAGCTATTGGGAGTGATTTTAGAGGTATTTTAAAATATTTTTCTCTCCATCAGAGTCTGCACCATTTGTGGTGTCTTCATAATCCAGCATCACAAGTACAGATGTGTGAATAACAAAGGCTTGTTTCTGGAAGTCAGGATTTTCAGTAAAGATCTGTGAGTTCTACCACTGGTTCTAAGGCAGTGTGAGGAATTTATAGGCTTTTCATTGGGATGAACCTAATTATTCACTCAGATTTGTACTAATCATGAAATAAGACCATCAGAAATGCATGCCCTGATGCCTCTCTAAGCTCTGGAGCAGTAGACTCAAAACCATCCACTGCTGCTCCTCCATGCTGGAGGAAATACAAAATTTTGGGTCGCAGAGCCATTCTGTAACATGCCGATTGTGATTTTCAAGCAAGAGAGGCAATGTGATATTCCAGAATGCATCTGTTTTGCATGAAATAGCATTTAGGAGCAGGGAGTGGAAGCTCAGTGTCTCCCTTCACAGAGCAGCTCCAGCAGTGACTGTGCAGCATCATTCTCACTCTCTGCACTGCTCAGCAATGTTAATTCCATTGGAAGAAAATTGAGTTGTTGTCTTTCAAATCTCAACTTAGTGAATCTCCTTCTTGTGGAGACACTGTAATATGTGATTGTGAGCCCTGGTGTGTAAGTACCCTCTCACTGAGTTTTTCAACTGCCTTTGTCTCCTGCCCATTGCAGAAAAAAATATAACAGAAGTCTGTGCCAATACATTGAGGGTAAAAAATGAACAATGTGCATATATACGTGGCTTAGCAAGTTGTTTGCTAGTTAGATGTTTGATGTGAAGACATCACTGTAAACAGAGCTAGAGGGAGAAAGTGCATACCTTTTATATGTGGCTATGTAAATATAGTATAGCTGGTGTAATGAGAAAAAAAGGACAAGTAATGATGCATAACTCAGACCCATAAACTCCTGGAAACAGTTGTTATTCTTTCTATAAAGAAAATGATGGAAAGTTATGTACGAAGGTGAGATTTAGAGCGATTTGCATTATTTGAATTATGAGTATGGATTGCTTTCCTGTCAGCTGTACCTTAGGCTCACTAAAATCAGGAACAGTATGAGAAGAATTTGTCTATAATATTAAATGCTTCCTTTCCAAAACGTCTCTGGGATTTAAATTGTATTTTATGTTTGGAATCACTGTTCATCAGAGCTTCCATCAGGGCAGAAGAATCAAGTTTGAATAGTTACTTCCATGGTGATATGCTACATCACAGTGAAAACAAGATCCATCCAAGAATTAGCAGTTTGCACACTAGTCTGTTTTTTCCATCTTTTATTACAGCATAAGCTTGGTTCACAGGTCTTTGAGTTATTTAAGCAACATGATGTAGAGAAGCAAAATAAAAGCAGTTGTGTTCGTTTCTGGATGTAGCATCACAACTGACCTGACAGAAGAACAATTGGTACCATGCAGTATTTATTTCTGAATGTTAGATCTGTTAGGTTATCTAACTACATAATGGAGGACTTGGGATGATAGCAAAGAGCTGATGGTAATGCTGGCAATTTCCCTTTTTTCTGCAGGTCACTGTCAGAGGATTTGGTCCATTGCTACAGTTTGCCTACACTGCTAAGCTGTTACTCAGCAGAGAAAACATCCAGGAGGTCATCCATTGTGCTGAATTCCTGCGCATGCACAACCTGGAGGACTCCTGCTTCAGCTTCCTTCAGACGCAGCTGCTGAACAACGAAGATGGCCTGTTCCTGTGCAAAAAAGATACCACTTGTCAGCGCATGCATGATGAGGAAAACTCGGATGGAGATGAGGAGGAGACGATGGAATCGGAGACGTCAAAAATATCTTGCCCAAGAGAGAGAATGCATCAGGAGCCCTTCAATTTTGAAACCACCGTTGCTGGCGCAGACAAAGGAGAAGGGATTCTGCCCAACTCTGACATGCTGAGAGACAGCAAGGACAATTTGGACAAAGATGCAGTGACGCGGTACCCCAGATACAAGAAATACCAGCTTGCTTGTACCAAGAATGTCTACAACACATCACACATCAGTACCTCAGGTTTTGCAAGCACATTCAGTGAAGAGAGCTCTGGAAACAGCCTCAAATCAGGACTTGCTATGGGGCAGATAAAAAGTGAGCCTCAGAATGAAGAGAATGATGAAGAAAGCATCACGCTTTGCCTGTCTGGAGATGAACCTGACATCAGGGATAAAGAAGGGGATGTTGAAATGGACAGGAAACAGCCAAGCCCCACTTGCGTCGACAGGCCAAAAAGTGGGTCTTCTCCTTCTTGCTTGCGGTCTTTCTTCAACAGAACAAAAAGTATAGATTTGGTTGGCTTCCCCAGCACTTCCCAACAGCACTTTGGCAGGAGTCCAGCGTGCCCTTTTGAAAAAGGGACAACTCAGGGTGACCACAAAACTGATTATGTCCCTTTCACAGGGAACTACGGACAGTCCCATGCCATGCAAAAGGATGCTTCCAACTTCACGGTGGGATCGCCGCTCAGGGGGCCCGGCTTTGAAACTCTTTGTAAGCAAGAGGGGGAACTGGACAGGAGGAGTGTTATATTCTCTTCAAACGCTTGTGACCAAGTAAACACTTCGGTGCATTCATATTCTGGTGTGAGCAGCTTGGACAAAGACCTCACTGAGACTGTGCCAAAGGGTCTGTGGGCTGGTGGTAGCCAGTCTCTCCCCAGCTCTCAGACCTATTCCCACAGCGGACTGACAGCTGATCACTTGTCAGGAAGGATGCGGCCGAACACCAGCTGTCCAGTGCCAATTAAAGTTTGCCCTCGCTCGCCTCCTTTAGAGACCAGAACGAGGACCTCCAGCTCGTGCTCTTCCTACTCATATGCAGAGGACGGCAGTGGCGGCTCCCCCTGCAGCCTACGTCTGTGTGAGCTCTCCTCTTCCCCTTGCTCCCAAGGCCCCCGATTCCTGGCGCCCGAGCACCAGGAGCCCGGTGTGGTGGGAGATGGATTGTACAACCCAGTTCGAGCCCAGATTAAATGTGAGCCATCCTATGGAACAAACTCCAGCGATGAGTCTGGGTCATTCTCAGAAGCAGACAGTGAATCATGTCCTGTGCAAGACAGAGGGCATGAGGTAGGGATTTAAGATAAGTACATATATATGACAATCATTGTGACCCAATTAATTGCTCCCTTACTCTCTCCAACGAATTGCCATTTTCCCAGCACATCCTTTGTTTATAGAGGCAAAGAGTAACTCCTATTTATTCCCTGTCAGCTGAGCACTCGTGGTTAATTTTGCGTAAATAGGCCTGTTTGACCTCCAAGATGCCCATGGCTTATCAGAATTTTGGTACTGAGCAAACCCGAACTGCTGAATGATGACAGTGTGTCTGTGTGCTGAGGAGTGCTGGCAGTGTTCTGTTCCCCTCCCTCCCTTGCCCACATATATGACACCAAGCATCATTCTTCATCCCAGGCTTGCCAAGGTGGTTCCAGCTCTGCTTGTTGTCTTGCTGTTTTGTATCAGCAAGCTCAAGCTTTGCCTTTGCTGACACGTAGCAGCCCACAGTGGCCCCACTTTGGTTGTGAGCCCATTGAATTGCATTTGTAAACTGCATGCAGTAGAGAGCATCTGAGTGAAATTGCGTATCTGGCTTCTCTAGTTAACACTAAAATGCTCCAGTGAGAGCTTGTGCTTCAGTGTGGGGAGCAGCGAGTGCTTGTTTGGGGGTTTGTGCACAGTGACCAGCCAGGTGAACCAGGTGTGCTTGGCTGGGCTAGGAGTGAAAAGGGTGAACTTTAATTTATCCTTCAATCTTAATTCTCATTGCATCCCAGGCTCTGGAAGATACCTTTCAGATAGATGTGTATGATGCCTGTACTGAGGTATTATCCTTAGGTCTAAGGAAGGGCTGAGCAGCCAGGTGAACTCTGATGCCCTCATCCCTACCACGCTGTACTGGTAGTTTGAGGCCAGCTCTTGTTTGTTGCTATTTGCAGAACTGTGGACATGCAGAGGGGAGAGGAATCTCCTTGGAAGGCTGTCTGGTTCTTCTGTGTAGGACCTCACTCAGGAGGCCCTACGGCAGGCATGCAGGACTGCTCTGCTCAGAAATACCAAGGTTATTTGCAGTCTGACACTCTCTGAAGTGCTGCGCTTATGAGTGGTGAAAAAGAGCAGGGAGTGGGATTAAGGAGGGCATCAGATTTCCACCCATGTGTGCTGCTGCTTGCTCAGCAGGGGCTAATGCACAGCAGGATACAGTGAAGAGAGCAGGAAGTGAGCCTTTTGGGGTTTGGTGACTAATTAGCTGTCATAATTGGCTAATTGTGTGGAGATGCTGCTGTAGAAGTGAGCCCGGAAGAGTCAAATGAGAAGAATATAGGGACTATTGGTTGTTCCCAGTAATAGTGTGCATATGTGTGCAGGCGAGCATGGCTGAAAGGAGGAGCAATCCCAAGAGCAGGGAAGGAGCAGGCTGCAGGGTCTCCATGTGCTGTTCAGGCAGATGTGCTGGGTTGTGGGCAGGGCTAGCAGGGCTTCACTCCTGGGTTTGCTACTCATTTTCTCATGGGGAGGTTTTCTACACTGTGCTGAGCAAGTTTTCTCCCTGGGTGTGCTGATAATGCTTTTTTTTTTTCCTTTTTTTTCTCTTCAGGACATTGTGATTTAAATTATTTAAATTACAGTGATGAAATTAATGCTCTCTGAGGTAGTACTGCATTACCTAGAGTAAACCGCTAGTAAACAGATCACACTAATGCTCCCATTAAAATATTAGGAAACACACTGTGCTCAGAAATAGGCTGCGTTTTAATCCTTCTCCACTTACAGACTTGTTGGTTTGACCTTGCTGTCCTAACGACCTCCCAGAGTGCTTCCCTTGCCATTTGCCGTGTCACAACACACAGAGTGTTTGTTGGGCTTCTCTTTGCCTGACAGGTGGAGGCAGTGCACAGGCTGGCTGCTGCAGGTGGGCTTTCATTCTGCTCGACGGGAGCAGAGCTGATGGACTCTGAGCCCAGGTTATCTCACCACACTGCTGAGTTCCCCTGGAATTTGGACCCTGTTTCTCTTGATTTGGGTCCCAGAGTGCTGCCCGTGCCAGAATTAGTGTCACAAAACATCACCTGCCAGTGTATATTGATCAGGTGAGAAGTAGGTGAAAGGTTTCTACTCACTGCTTTTTTAGGGCACTCTTTACTTGCAGACCAGTGCCCTTGAGGAGCACATGTCACAGGTGCTCAGTGCCAAAAGTATGATTTGGAGAGGGATGCTTGATGTGACTTAGAATCATAGAATCACAGAATTGCTCAGGTTGGAAAAGATCTTAAAGATCATCAAGTCTAACCGCAACCCAACCAAACTTACCCTCAAGTGTGGGTGAATGTGTCCTAACTCTGTGTCTGGTCCCACGTGGGGATACAGATCACCGTGGCAAGTATTGGAAGAGCACCACTGGTAAGTACTCTCCAAATAGATCGTCTTTGCCTTTTATTTTTCTTCCTGTTGAAGGAGGCACCCTGGGGGTTCTGAGAGCTCTATTAAAACTTTGTGACTGAAGAAGCGTTTGTAATTTGGAGTCTCCTAATCTCAGTATTACAGAAGCACAGGACCAGAATTGGTATCTGAGCTGTTGGGACTTTACAGAAATGAGTAAGAGTTTGCCTTTTCACCCAGCTCCTTCAGCCTCCAGCAGTTGTTAAAAATCAGTTATTGGAATACAGTACTAAAGAGAAGACTCTGCTTTGCAGACAGGTTCTGACAACCCTGCTCAAAATAGCACCAACAAAACAATAGGGCCTGGAATAATGAATTGTTGAGAAGGAAGTAGTCTGTCATTCTGTTAACCTAGTTAGGAACAGAAACTTAGCCACTAACCTACTTTCCTTGATAGTCATTTTCCTCAAAAAGTATGTCTGTGGTTTTCTTTTTTTTCTTTTTTTCTGTTGGAAAACTTGTAAAAAATAGCATACTACTAAACCAGTTAAAAAGAAATCTCAGCTCAGTCTAATTTGATGAGTGAGTTTCCTTAGGAAAAGGGTAAACATGGGTAGGTCGAGGTAAGAGATTGAGTTTTCCAAGTATCACTACTGGGAGAATTGCATTCAATGAGTCTTTCATTTATATTTCAAAAGAATTTCCCGCTTGGGTTAGTGACTCACTTTTCAAAGGAAATTTTCATAAAGGCAGAGCTAATGCAATTGGACCACAGAGGATACTGTAAGCAAATGACCTTCGGTGAGAGTCCAGGACCAACCTCACTAAATAGCAGAGAGCAGCCCTTTCCCTGCTTGCCTGGTGTTGGTTAGCTCTGCTGTTATCCAGAGCCCCAGAAACAGGGAAAAAAAAATAAACCAAAGTTATTCTGCCTGAAATCTGCTGTGCTGAGCTGTCTGTGCTGAATCTGCTGGGTGTTTTCCTGAGCAGCATCAGCAGAGCACTGGGAGTTGTGCTTGATGACATCTGAATAAATGAGCCTCATCAAATATTGCTCTTGCAAGATGAACTCCACAGCAGTTTTGTTTCCTTTCTTCTTCGTAGGAATGGTGCCCATTCAGGATGCAGAGAATTATTGCCTTACAACACTGAGAGTTTTCCATTACAAACTTGAAATTTCAGGAAGGTCCTTTTGAATATCTTCAATCCCCTGTATTATTTCATGATAGCCTAAAATCAATTCTGCCATGCCCTGAGCTGAAACCCTTGCTGGAGCTCCTGAAGTTCTCTTTCTTTTTTTTTTCTGCAAAAACAGATTTTTCAGAGGAATGCTGCACTTCATTTCTTCACCTGATCTGTCCTTCTAAAGCGTTCCCATCTTCATCAGGGTCTGCTCACTATCCCTGTCTCTGAAGAGCCTCGTCATGGGCAGGGGATGCATTGTCCTATACATGATAAGGATGAAGCTGAGGACACTGTAAGCAGTGAACAGGGAGAGGCCAGGATGGCATTTTATGCACCAATAAGAGAGGATCTGAACAGAAACCTGAGTCAGGGGCTAAAGGATGAAAACTCCTGGCTCTTGAGTTAAAGCTAGGGCACCACTACTTCCTCCAGTTCTTTGAGGCAGGTAGCAAATCAAAAAGTTGCCCAGGCTGCCTCTTCAGAATGCCCAGCATTTGTCCCCTCAGGGAGCATTACTGACTATGACCCCACATGCCCTCAAGTGAGACTGTGTTTGCCCAGGGGAGGACATGACCATCAGTCATACTGTGCCAATTAGAGCAGGCTCTCTGCTCTGGGCCTCCACAGTCCTGTCGCTTGAGGTATTTTCAGACCCCATCTGTTAGCACTCTGCTAGTTCTTTTCTGCCTGGGCTCACAACTTTCCTCTTGCAAGTCCACTGCCATCCCAGTGGCTGCCATTTGAAGAGAGCTGTTTTGAAGGGGAAGCAGACCAGTGGGAACACACCCTGCCTGTGGTCCTATTGCACAAAAGTGAGACCAGTTAGGTTGGTTCTTCTCTGGGACCATGAGTGGTGCCTCAAGCAGTATGTAGGTAGTCAAGTCCTTGAAACACAGATGAACTCAATTCAGTTTCTGTCTTGGGCTGAATTTCTTCCTGAGTGTTTGTAGAAGAATGACCTTCATACTAAGGAAGATACAAGGGAAAACACCAGTAATTTGTTGAGCTCGTCTGTGTGGAGCAGATTGCCTCTTTTTACACCAAAAAGCATTTCTGTGATTCAGTCCTCGTGTTAAATAGCTTGGTTGAGTCCTGAGAGCTTTCCAAGGGTTGGGCAATTTCAAGAGTCAGATGCTTTCAATAGCTCTGGCTTTCAGTGTAAGAACATTAAGGCAACAGCTTTGCTTCTTACAACTTTAGAGAAAATGACCAAGATTTTCAACGACCTGTAAAGGTCTAGGTGATTCCACTGAATTCTACCCTCCTATGTCCAGTACATACTGATTATCTTATGTATAATGTATGAAATCCTTTATTTACTGTAATTTTAAGCTAAGCTTATGAAGTTCAGCATCTTCACCAGCACTTGGCAGCTCAAGGAAGACATTGTTGAAATTTAAATATAAAGTGAAAAAGTTCATGCAACTCATGAGATAAGAAAATTCCCAATTATCTTATGTAAGTTAAATACAGGGCTTCAGTTTTTTCCTTTATTCCCAAGAGAAGGGGGTGAAGAACAGCAGCAGGAACTAGCACAGTGTTGAGCAGCACAGCACTCACGGCATATGATCCAAGCTGACACTAACTAGTGAAGCCTGAATGAATTAATTGTTTATAGATGGGCCTTGCATTTGCTGAGTCAATGTTTGTCACTGCTTGTCAAGGGCAATGCTGTTACTTAGCCATTCTGTTGTGTAATGACATTTCCACTGAATGGCCCTGGGAACTAACAACCTATTAGTCTCACCTCTGTGCCACGGAAGATCTTGGAACAGATCCTCGTGAAATCTGTGCTAATGCACATGGAAGACATGGAGGTGATACAGGAGAACCAGCATGGCTTCACCAAGGGCATATCCTGTTTGACCAACCTAGTAGTCTCTTATGATGGTGTCACTGCATCAATACACAAGGGAAGAGCCACTGATATGATCTATTTGCACTTCAGTAAGGTCTTTGACAGTGTCCCACAACATTCATCTCACCAAATTGGAAAGATATGGATTTGATGGGTGGACTGTTCAGTTGTGAATAACTGGCTGCAAGACTGAGTCCAGAGAATGGTGGCTCAATGTCTGGATGAAGATTAGTGATGAGTGGTCTCCCCCAGGGGTCAGTGCTGGGACCAGTAATCTTTAATATCTTCATCAATGACATCGACAGTGGGGTCGAGTGCACCCTCAGCAAGTTTGCTGATGACACCAAGCTGTGGAGTGCAGTTGACAAACCGGAGGGACGGGATGCCATTCAGAGGGACCTAGACAGGCTTGAGCAGTGGGCCCAGGTGAACCTCGTGAGGTTCAACAAATACAAATGTAAGGACCTGCACCTGGGTCAAGACAACCCTCGCTACTGATACAAGCTGAGGTATGAAAGGATTCAGTGCAGCCCTGCTGAAAAAGGACCTGGGGGTACTGGTGGATGGAAGCCAAACATGAGGCAGCAATGTGCCCTCACAGCCCAGAAAGACAAATGTATCCTGGGCTGTATTGAAAGAACTGTGGTCAGCATTGTGAGGAAGGTGATCCTGCCCCTCTACTCTGCGCTGGTGAGAGCTCCATTAGAGTGCTGGATCCAGATGTGGAGTGCTCAGTATAGGAGAGATGTGGCCCTCTTGGAGTGTGTCCAGAGAAGGCCCACAAAAGTGATCCGAGGGATAGAACACCTCTCCTACAAGGGCATGCTGAGAGTGCTGGGGCTGTTCAGCCTGGAGAGGAGAAAGCTCAGAGGCGGCCTGATAGTGGCCTTTCAGTATCTAAAGGGGAGTGACAGGAAAGAAGGAAACAAGCTCTTTGGCAGGGTCTGTGGTGATAGAACAAGGGGAGATGGCATCAAGCTTAAAGAGGGTAGATCTAGGTTACGTGTAAAGAAAAAGTCTTTTACAGTGAGGGTGGTGAGGCTCTGAAACAGGTTGACCAGAGATGTGGTTAATGCCCCCTCCCTGGAGACTTTCAAGGTGAGGCTGGATCAAGCCCTGGGCAACCTGCTCTATCTGTGTATGTCCGTGTTCACTGAAGGAAAGTTGGATTAGATGACCTCTAAAGTCCCTTCCAACTCTAAGGCTTCTATGATTCTATCCTAATAGTAATACAAAGGAAAAAATGCTGTAAAATCATAAACAAGTTATATTTTTTACCAAGATGGTTTGGCTGCCTAAGGAGCGTATCAGCCAGAATCAGGGGCAACAGGGCTGCAGCACTGCTGAAAAGTGCTGTCTTATTTGCTGTGGTGAAAACATCCTCTGGTATTGTTATTTTTAAAAAGCAGAGAACAAGTAATTGTATTGATAGTGGAGACTTGAAGAGCTCTGTTCTCTGTGTGGTTAGCTGCCTGGAAGGAGTAGAGATCCTGCTTACATTTCTAATTTAAAATCATCCAAACCAAGGAGTATAGAGTTATTTCCTGTATATAATGCATAATTACTAAAAATAACAATTTACAAGAACACATACTAGCTGGGATTTTCTTACACAGCTCAGAAAAGACTGACGATCTATTTTCAGACATCTCAGGTAAGTTTTCTCTCGTTTGAGTCAGATACCTTAAGAGAGAGCATCTTTCTAAGCCTGGTTTCCTCTCAGAGAAGCCATGGGGTTGCATTGCTCTCCATGGAGCTCTCTTCATCCTTGATGACAGCAGCAGGGATTGAGACATGAGCAGGTCTCAGCCCTTCATTTTAGGCAGCTCTATGTGGGTCAGCTGAATCCCAACCATGGCACATCCCTCAGCTCATGTAAATGGCTTTGCTGAAATAAATACCCATTAAGAATCTTGCCGTGCATCAACATAAAGCATCAGCAGCCTCTCACTGCAGCAGCACTGCAGTGTAGTTATTCATTGTGTCCATGCCAAGGCATGGTTGGGTTTTTTTTGGTTTGGTTTTTTTTTTCTTTTCAGTTGACAGCTAATTGTGGAGAGAGAGACAGGCAATAAAAATTATGTTGATGGTGAAGGAAATGAGTCTGACTCACTTCCACTCTCCTTTCACTTTTTTAATCCTGCACAGTGCTGCATATGACAGAAGTGGAATTAGGCTGGTTTACTGATAGCACCCTCTGCCCCACTGTGTGGATATTTTTATTTTCAGACTATTTTTTTTAACATGTTTTTCTTTACTTTCCTGTTTCCCTTCAGCATCTTCTACCTGACAGATTTAAGTCAATCCCATCTAATTCCCATTCAAACTGCAAGCACATTTCCTGCTTGCGGGTAAATATGTTGAGAAAGGGGGATGAGGGAGGGAGAAATAAGGTTAGCATCTTTCAGCTTCAGACCTCAGAAAATAAGAAAACCCTCAGAACATGACAGGAGTGTTTTTGAGTGAGACCGTGATGCTTTTCAGCACCTGTTTTTGTTTTCAGGCTCTATGTGAAGCTTGAGAGAAAACCAGTTTACCCCAAATGTGTGTTTACTGACCAAAGAGTAGAAAGAGGAAATCAAAGAGGTTTCATGCTGTTTGGCAGCAGTCTGTAAACAAGGTGTCCACATCACCATGTCTAAGGTCAGCTCGTGTGTTTGTGCAGGCAGGCGTGGGGGGATTCAGGCAAGCCTGGCAGCTGACCTGCAAAGCCAGAAAGCCACAGAGTGGTGACCGAGGCCTGGTTTTACCAGGGGGCCCGAGGGGCAATGTTCAGCGCACGGAACCGTGTGAAAGGGTTCTGTGAGCATTTGCAGCAGGTTCCACGTGGCCGGGGCTTGGAGAAACAAACAGTAAGTTCAAGTCGATCAACCAGGCAGGGAGCTGCCTACAGGCAGGTCTGTGTGTTATGTGTGTGCCCATCCTTCACACGCTGCTTCTAAACAACTGCAGCCCTCCAGTGAAAATACCCACTCTTATTTCTAATCCGTGTTCTTGTTTTATCTCCAAGTGACTGAAGTGCACCATTTGAAGAGGATAACTGTGTTTTAAATACCAAAGGAACCTTTTCAAGTGGAGTCTTTGGCTTGGCTGGAGAAACTTAAATCTATTTTCTTTGGGAGTGTGTCTACAGAATAGACCCCTTGTTCCAAAGAGGTCGGATTGTACCAAATCGGGCTAGAAATGTAAATATTTACTGCCACCTTTCGGTCAACGTGGGTATGGCTATAAGAAAGAAAGGGTGAATCCGAGTCACTCAGTTGTCACCTCCTTCAGTTTTGTCAACTCTGTCTTGGATCACCAGATGCAGCAGTGCACCTAGAAACATCATTTCATAGTCATCAGTCACAAACAACAACTGAAACAGGATTCGAAGGGAGGGATGCTCTCTCTAGTTTGAGCAAATTGGAAAAAATAACCTAACAGAAGCCCTTGAGCACATCTGCCTTTCTCCAGTCTCACTACATTTTGAGAGAGGGTTGGAATGTCTGCACTCACAACCTGCAGCTCTGGCCACAAATGCACAAATGTAATGACAATTTGTAGCTGGAAGGAAATTTTCATGCAAATAGCTGAGGTTCTAGACTGTTATTTGTTTTTTGGTTTTTTTTTAAGATTTCTTGGTTACTTGGTTACTACTGCAGCTTGGTTACTGTTTGCTAACATTCTTTCTGTTAGAATTTTGGAAAATACAAATTTCTTTTAAAATGTGTATATTTTAGGAGAGTATGATATGTTGTATCATTCTTCTGCTTAAACAACTTGTACTATAAGAGATATGGTATTTTTTTGATCAACTTGAGGTGTTCAGTTGCATTTTGAAACCTCATACCTAATCAGATTTCCAGCCCTTCAGGCCATGCAAATGCAAGTTTCCTGGAGTAGTAGCCCATTCCTTGAAAACAGTTTGGAATGAATAGTGGTGAGGTATTCCACAAGTACTACATCACATAGTGGAAGGAGCCTTTTTTAGTGCAAGGAGATTGATTATTAGAGCTGTATGGGAAGGTGACTTTTTTTTATCTGGCATTCATCAATATTGCTGATTTCAGTTAAACCGTAGCCAGCTGGACCTCTACGGTGTGCCACAAGGGAGTGTTAAAAACTTCCTGTTGTAAAATCTTGAGCGTTGTTTATTTAGAAAGTGGGAGCAGGTCTAATAGTCCTTCTGCTCTGTGGTGTTCAGCTTGCATTCACCAAGCAAAATGTGACTCTTTGTCTGCTTTTGTCTCACATTTGTTTGTTTAGGTGAAACTTCCTTTTCCTGTTGATCAAATCACAGATCTTCCAAGGAATGATTTCCAGATGATGATAAAGATGCACAAACTAACCTCAGAACAGCTTGAGTTCATCCATGATGTTCGCCGGCGCAGCAAGAACCGAATTGCAGCTCAGCGCTGCCGCAAGAGAAAACTGGACTGTATTCAGAACCTGGAATGTGAAATCCGCAAGTTGGTGAGTGGCATGCTCTTACCCTAACAGCTGTTCCCATCCAGAGTTAATTAATTCAGTCAGCTTGTAAGTTTGCATGTAAGTGAAGGCACTAGTATGACAATTGAATGCACAAAATGTCTCAGGATGTATGTATATATTGTATATGTGGAAAACACAAAATACTGGTGAAATTAGACCTAAATATGTCTTTTTTTGATATCTCAAGAGTAGCTTGTTGAGAAATTTGGAAGGGGAGAGAAGCTTGTATCATAGCTGCCCTCTTGCAGTTTCATTTGCCCTCAGTACTTAAAGCACATAAGCAAAGATGTTCCTTTTTTTAACTCCACATCCTTGCTTGACTGCCATAGCAAGTGGATTGCACTGGGCTTCATAGCTCAAAAGGGTTAGGTGTGAAAGGACCTGCAGAGGCTGTCTGGTCCAAACTCTGCTCTGATTGGCCCAACTCCATCTCTACATCTAGATTTTCTTTCTCTTTAGTTTTTTAGAGAGCAGCTCAGTGCTTTGCGGGCTGTTTCAGCTTGCCATGCCTTTTCTTCAGATCTTTGATTCTCTGATCAAATTGCAGAAGTAGCAAGGAGAATGAGAAAGAAGACAAGAATGTAAATATCCAGACATGTGTCCACGCCTTGATTTAGGGCATGCCACTCTGGGATGAAGCATACCCTGTTCAATGACCAAAGCACAGGTCTCCTGTGTGCCGAGGTACCACTGTAAAGTGCTACCACATTTCTTTCTAAGAGGGAGAAGTGACTGGAATGGTGCTAAATGGCTCCTCAGGAAATTCATCTCTCTTTTAGTCATGGTGTGGATGCCTTAGATATGTGTTTTAGGTGGCTAAACACAGTTGTCTACAACATAGACACCCACACTGGAGCTAGCTGACCTGCTTTCCCTTAATTTCAGTGAAGGGAAACAGGTGTCTGTCAAGTCTTATTTAAATGTCCCATCCTGCAACAAAGGAGGTGATGTACAGCCCAAAAGTGCCTGTTTCTTTCTGTGACTAAGAAAGATCTTAGCACCTGGAGAGCTATGTCAAATGTAGGCATCTTAGTTGAAGGCATTACAAACGTTTCCTCCCCTTCTGACAGTGTCTCTGTGGTCTGAGGGAGCTGCTTTTCTTCTCCTACCTTTCCTTACCCATTGAGAAAGCAAGCAGGTAAAGAACAAAAAAGGCTTGAGAGAAAGGAGTCTGCAGGGTATCACTCAGGAGGAAGAATGTAGAATGGATTGGCACCTCCTGATCTGTTGAAAAGCCCTAAAAGTTTTCTGAGAAGTCAAAAACAATGTAAGTGTCCCAGAACGGCTGTTATGAGAAGTGGGATATGCAGCATGCAGTTCGATTTTATTCCTCAGCAGAGATTTAGGAGTCCAGCATTAAATCCAGCCTTTGAATGTTCGAAGATTTGAGTGATAAATTAATTAATTCCCATAGATAAAACAAAAGGAGCTGAAACTGATTTCCCTATAGTGATCTCTGTGTACCCAGTTCCCATTAAAATCAAAGGTTATTTGGAGCCCTTCATTTCAATGTCTGCGTGCACGTTTGCTCAGCCGTGGGTTGAACTTAGTGGGCTGGGAAATGGAATGCTTCTTGTTCTGATGATAGCAGGTTGCGTGTCAAAAGTGGCCTTCAGCATCCTCCTTTCTTAGCACAAGCTGCAGCAAACACAGTGTGAAAGAGACAGGGATCTGCTGGAAGAAGCTGTGTTGTCACCACCCTACAAATGGCAAAAGCCGCAGCACGTCGGGTTAGTCACTTACTGCCTGTGAGGGTCTGCTTCCCATCTGCACAGTGGAGGTGACACTGACCCCACAAGCTGGCTGGGAGACTTACATCATCAAGGCTCTGAAGTCTTCAAATACCATGCTGCTGAAGCCTGGGTGGAAAAAAAAAAAAAGAAGAAACAAAAATAAAAACATTTGTAAGAGTAGGGCTTTTCTGATGCAAAACAAACCAGACATCAAAAGTAAACAAAACACTGAGCAACCGCTTCCTTCACCAAGCCTAATCCACAATGGGTGCAGGATGAGTCAGAGGTTCTACAGGGTGAGGAAGAGGCACAGAGGTGCATAAGCAAGGTTGGCAGTCCCAGCCATGCCTGCCCATCCTTCTGCACCAAGCTGCTGGTGGAGAGGAGAATTCATCTCTAGCAGTGAGCACCCGGGGCAGTCCAGCAAGGGCTGCATGAGCAGCAAGTGTGGCTTCCATTTGAATACCTGCCACCTTCACTTGCAAATTAATTCTAGTTTGTTGGGTTTGTGCAGTCCTACTAAATAACTATTATTATTTAACATTATCAGTGGTGGATAGGCAGCATACATTTCTCAAGACCCCTTTTTTTCCCTAGCACATCTCTGAGAAGAGAATGAAAGGTGTATGAATGGCCTTTTGGGCCTGATCCCTGCTGAATTCCAGGAATCAAAAGCACTTAGAAAAGCAGGAGTCTTTGACAGTAATTTTAAGATTTCTATGCAGCAAGCTGTACATAGGGAATGGGCTCTAGTGCACCCTAATGAAAAGGAGCATTCATTACAAAGGCTATTATGGGGTGTACAGGAGGATAAAGTGATGATAGAAAACAAATTCATGCAATTTCAGCATTGCTTCCCCAGCACTTCTGCTCTCTCCACAGACACTTGCAGCTCAAGCACACTGCCTGCTTCAAGGCTCAGGGTCTCTGGAAATTCCTTTGTCATCTTCTGTCCTCTTTGTCACCAGTAATTTCCAATCTTCTTAATTATGTTACAGCACTAAATTTTAAAGAATCTTCACTTGGATAGATGCTTTGTTTGGTTGGTTTTTTTAAAGCCCCTTTTTGCCCATCGCGCTTACTCCCTGTGAGTCACCCATCTCCACAACAGAGATGGTTTCATCTCTGTTAGTGAAATGGTCACATCTTCCAAGTTTGGTAGTTAGGGTTTTTTGCCTGCTTTCCCTCACACATCCATCTACCCACTCACATCCCATTTTTTCATGCGAACTCGCAGCATATTCTCTTCCATAATTCATTATCTCAAGATGTACTTGAGCATCTGTTTATTTTTATATTATTTTTATGCTTTCTTGATAGATTTATCAATATTTTAGCAGTTGGTTCTTCCCATATAGAGTACTCTCTTCCTCATTCACACAGCTGCATGCTTCCAGTGCAGGCTTTCGACCTGGTGTAATGCTATCAGCAGCCACCCGTAGCTGGGTTATCTCAGTAGCGGAGTTTTCACACCTCAGATGCCAAGACAGCTTGAGTGTAGCAGTGTTACTAGGTTAGGTACATGGTGCACTGCTTTTAGGGCCAGCTGAGCACTGGAAATAGCTCTTGTGCTCTGCAAAATCTGATCTGCTCCCTTGAGCTATATGCTGGGTGGTGGTACTGATGTAGCAGGGCCATTCCCACTATTCTGCAAGGGGTCAGCACCATGCTTTTAACAGTGAGCTCCCTGGCTGGGTCTGGCTCTGTGCCTGACCCCTCCGGTTCACCTTTCGAATGTTTGAATCAGAAAGCCCACCTACCTTTGAGGTTTTCACATACATCTTCATAGAATTATCTTGATTAGGTCAAACTCAAACCAGTTATTAGCAGGACATACAAAAATGAGCTATGGTGCTGACCACACTGAGCACATGCTGTCCCAAGTTCTCTCCTCCAAACACCATACCTTGCAGTAGTGATGGGTGTTCATAGCTTCAAGGACGTACACTCAGACTGACTGGCTGTCCTGACATTTAGAGAATAAACTACTATATGTCCTCTCTTAAGCAGTGAGACACTGATTTATTCTTGTTTGGGCAGAAATGGCTTTTCTCCATCAAAATGTTTATTTCGGAGTTTTTTATATCATACATCAAACAGCCTTAGTCCATTAAGGAAACTAGCAGTCTCTTGGAATAATGTATGACTGTTCTCTAACAACTGAAATGCTTTTCTCCAAATGTTTCCCAAACTGCAGTCCACTCAGACCTATTAGTGGTCAATATCTGATGTCTTTGTGACATTTCCTCTTTCCATTTAAAAATAACTTTGTTGGGTCAGAATTCTCCTTGGGTACTGCCAAGGATGGATGGCTCTTCTTTCAAGTAAGGTGCTTTCTTTTTTTTTTTCAGGTGTGTGAGAAAGAGAAGTTGCTCTCAGAAAGGAACCAGCTGAAAGCAAGCATGGGCGAATTGCTGGATAACTTCTCGTGTCTTTCCCAAGAAGTGTGCAGAGACATGCAGAGCCCGGAACAGATCCAAGCCCTTCACCGCTACTGCCCCGTTCTCAGACCCATGGATCTGCAGACGGCCACCAACATCAGCCCCTCAACGGGTGTGGAGCAGGGCCTGGCAACGTCGCAGTGTGTTGGGGAAGGCATGCAGTGCTGCTCAGAGCAGGGCCCCGTGCAGCTGGGAGCATCCTGGCTGCCCAACAACGTCTCAGAGAATTGCTTGGCCAGCGGCGGGGGGTTGGATGGAGCTGAGCCAGGTACTTACCCTGAGAGAGAGCTTCCGCGAGAGCAGAGTAGCCAAACGGTCACGGTAGACTTCTGTCAGGAAATGACTGATAAATGTACAACAGATGAACAGCCTAGGAAAGATTACACCTAGTGACTTGTAACCTTACCGTTACACCTGGTCAGGTGTTCTTCAGTCAGCCAGTGGCAGTGCTCATTTGTTGTCTAGAAGAACGTATTTGGTGCACACTACAGTGGTCTTAGCAGCAATACTGTTTTTAAGTATTCCCTCCTCTCTACAAGCAGGAGTTATCTTCACAATGGTGCTATCCCTTGCTCAGGCAAGGAATTACACAGTGGCAACACTGTCTGTTTTTGTATGTTGATTTCAATCTTAACAGGGATGGACATAACACCTCTGAGGACCCAACCGCAGCTTTTTTCTCAGTGGCCCATGTCACAAAACCCTAACTCAGGAATTTCCTCTGAATGTTCAATTTTTCATTGAAGACAGCTTCTTTACACATCAAAGTTTTATAGCTAAACTGTATATATTATATATAATATATATAAAATATATATATCCATATGCAAAAGTCCCTGCATGCCTCAATTTTTCTCATCCTACAAACTGGAAGCTTTCATTTATATTGTATAAACAAGTTCCAACATTCCTTTTTGTCTTCAATGCTAGAACTAGTTTGGTAACTTGTTACACAATTTTTTTTCTTGGTTCACAGTTCAGCAATATCATTCAATTTGTACTTATTTATAAAATTTTAATGTTGGAATCTTATTTGAGATTTTATTATAGACAATTTTTTTGGCACAGCCATTTTGTGCCACTTGAGCAATGTGGATTTATTTTATTTTCTTGCAGATACTGTACAGTAATGGTCAACTTTGCCACTTGCACTGAGTTTCTGGTCAAACCTCTTTTCATAAATGAAGTTGTGACTTCAGTATAACTTGAGTATATGGTTTTCTTTGCTTTATGGCTTAAAGAAAATAGAAAAGTTTTAGCTAATAGACAAACACTCAGGAGCTCATTACATAGTAAAAACGGTCTTGCCAAATACTGAATTCACTATACAGTTTGTAAAGAGAATCTGCTTGAATTATTTTTGTATTCAGACTTCTTTTGTTTCACAAACCAAGCTTAAGTGCTGTTAATGATGCTTTTGGATTCTTATAGGGCAAAATATATATCTCACTCCTTAGAGAGAAACGTATTTGACAACTGGATCTGATCACCATTAAGTTCCACGAAATAAAGTAAATGGAAATCACATCAACACACTTTGGCGGCTTCTTTGCCAGCCACAGTCTGCATCCTTTACTCACGGAAGCAGCTGCTGCTCCAAGTAGTAGTCCCTGTAGCATCACCTCAGCTTTCCTCAGACCTTCCCCAGACCAGCTGCAGAGGCAGCTCTGGTGAAGTCAGGGATCCTGCCCAGGTAAGAAGAGTTGCAGGACCAGACCCCTCCACCATGGGCTCTGGTTTCCCTACAGAAGTCAAGTTAGCGCTGTACCCTCTAAGAGCAAGTCACACTCTGTCGGCACCCAGATTGGTTGCTTGCCCTTCCAGTCCTTGTGTCCCAGGATCCACTCGTCCTACAGCATTGCCTTCAGGACAAATTGCAGCTAGAAGAGCGCTGTCTCAAAGGAGACTACTCAGTGAATTGACTTAGTTGTAACTGCACTGGATTTGTATCTGAAGCGATGTTGACTCATGTTATGACTGTGTGAGACAGCAGCTTTCCAAGCATAACATCTGTATGTACAGTGTAGACAGAAAACGTCCTCCTTACGCTTTTTTAGTAATTATTATTATTCTAAGTGTACTGAGTTTTTATTTTGTGGTTCTTTGTCCTACGTGTGCCAGGTTGTGTGGCTTTATCCTGGACGACAACTGTCATGTGCTTTACTGGCTGATACCATTTGCTCTTGCTGAAAAAATTGACCAGCTCTTCACACCTATTTAAAAATAAATAAATAAAAATTGGAGGGTAGCAGCTTCTCAGTGGCACTGAGCGATACTGCAGTCTGCGCTAAAGTTTACACTTAGAGGTGTGCACTGGGGCTCTCTTGAGGCACTCAGTAGATCAGCAGCTTGACCTTGGAGGAGGAATCAGCTCCCTCTCTCCCTTCTCTCACCTTCAGCCTGTGCTCATGGATGTCGCCCACTCGCCACAAAGTCTTGCTTTTGCCCTCTGCACCCACACTCTTGTAGCCAAGCTACCGAGGAGGAAATGCATATAGCATGTGCCATGTTTGTTGAAAATACTTCTTTTCCCCGCATGTACAAAGAAAAACTAGTATATAATGTAGGAGAATATTTATGTTTAAGTATTAATCATTACTGTACAAAATCCTTACCTTTACATGTTCAAAAGTATACGAATGCCATAAACTCCTAGTTCACATGGCTGAGAAAGGGGGAGGTGTCGTTCTTTCTTTTTACAGGAGCTTAAGCTAAAAATCTCTGACCCCCTCTCACTTCCCCTCTCACAAGTAACTGTCTGAGAAGCTCCTGGGGGGATCTGATTTTCCTTTGAACTCACTGACGTTGCAAAGCAGTTCTGTGCTTCGCAGAGAAGTTTTGTTTCTATGAGACCATGGTGAAAGCTAGAATTTAAAACTAAATGTGAATCACATTATAGAGTCATAGCTACTTTGGGGGGGTCGGGGGAGGGAGGGACGGGTCAACTGACACAGTATTTTAAAGATGTTTTTTCTGTTGCCTTTTTTATTTTTAAGTGACCTCCTATATATATGAATAGATAGAATGTTTTATGAGCATAAAACCAAGTTTTAACTTGCTTCCTGGCATGAAGATTTATTCTACTAACAACTCATGTGCAACTGGTACTCTTGACCTCATTCCAGCGGTTTAAAAACCCACCCTCACAACCATCGCGCTGCAGCTCTCAGTTTGACCTGGCTTCCTACAGGTGCTGGGTCTCTTAATTTTCTCTACCTTGGGAACTGATATATAAAACCACTGCTCAGATAAGTGTCTCTTCCTCAATATTCCTCTCCTCTTGCTCTCTTTCCCTCCCCTGTAAGCTTTTCTGGATGTTTGATTTCATTCTTCCTCATTAGAAGTGGCTGGTTTTGTGTCATTGCTTCCTATATTTACATGTATCATGGTTTTCCAGTGAGTTTTTTTGGTGGTGGTGGTTGTTTTTTTTTTGTTGTTGTTGTTTGTTTGTTTGTTTCTATTTTGTTTTGAGGTTATTTTGCTATTCTGAACTACATGGCTCTCAAAGCTGTTACTGGGCTAACTTTAAAGGAAGGCACTGGGAGAATTAGTTTCAGACCTGGACATCAGTTGGCATATCCAACTGCTCTTATCATGAGGTCAAAACAACTGATCACAAGGATACCATTTGGAAAAACAAAATGAAAAACTGACTGCAATATTTACTGATTTGAAGAGTTTGGCTAGTGGTCACCATGGTCTTAAGAATCTCTTTGCATCTGTCAGAGGACAGTTGCACAGCACCAGGCATTGTATAGGAGAGGTGTGATGAGGCCCACCCCTCTCCCTACTGGGTGCTCCATGGGTATCTGAGTCCTTCACTCTTTGTCCAGTCTGTATCTAATCCTCCTCTTCTTTTGCCATTGCTCTACCTGTACTGCCAAGAAACCTCATTTCATTTAGGCTTGTTATGCTTTGTCAAGTGAGTACCACACTATATAATGTGTTTGTTTCTCTGCGTTCTCTGGGGGTGCCTTGAACACAATTAAAGCTCATTGCAAGCTGATTCTGGAACAAAAAGGTAGTGCAAAAAAAGAAAAGATTAAAAAAAAAAAAAAAACAAAAAAAAAACAAAAACAGGGAAAACAAAACAGAAAAGAAGCAAAACAAAAGCAAAAATGTTGGCTGTCTTATCAGGAGATCCCAGTATTTATATCACAGACTTCCTAACATTCAATGACTCAGGCGTCAGAGTTTGATGCTGCAGTATAAAACTATTATTTTATATATTGTACTAGTAATTTATTAAATGTCTTTCTAAGGGTATATGCTGCTTTTAAGATGCACTATATTTTTGGATCTAATCCTTGTATTATTTTTTCCCAAGGAAGTAAAATGTGTTGCAAAGGCAAGCCATGGTGATTAGTATGCTAACTGCTACTTCTCTTTAAAAAGGAGAGTGGGAACTAGATAAATAACTTAGCTAAATGGATTAACTGCTGCCAGAGGAATGATTAATGCTGATAGCATGGTTGTTAATCTGGAGTTCAACACTTTGTCAAGTCTGCATTCTAAAGAGCGCTTAAATAGAAGTTAAAACGCATAGATAGATATAGTTAGATTTTTTAATATGTAACTTTATGATTGCCTAATAAAAACAAATCTGCATGCTGGAATCACTATAATCCTGTAATAAAATAAAAGCTGATCCACTAGGAGAAAGCACGATGAAGCACTGTCCTTCAGTCAACACAACAGCCTCACTCGTGTCACGTAATGCACTGCTGTGGTTGTTGAAAAGAGCAATGGGTTTCCAGAATGAACCTCTAGTGATTTTTTCAGTGAGACGAAGGGAGCGTTGGCCAGGTTTACAGCAGCTTGCATTTTGATCCACTTTGTTTCCTCTACTGCTGCAACAAGGAGCGCTGCTTTCACCTTGTTCTGATCCGACGTGCGTTTGGAGGTGTCTTTGGCTGAATGGTGTAGACCGTGCTTGTAGCATTTTAAAAGTATATATTTTAGATCTGTCTAGAGAAGATTTAGCTTCAGTGTGAGCAGTAGAGCTGATGGCTTTGCAGAAGGAGGGATCTGCTCAGTATAGGAGTGAGGTGAAACTAAAATCATTGCCACAACGAACTGATGCTCCCTTTCCTGCTAGAAATTCTCTCAACAGGTTTTTGACTTCATTTTGGTTTTGTCTCTGACAGCCCAACGCAAGTTAATTTTATATATCTTTAATACATGTATGTATATATACATACATATAGAATTCTAGTCAAAGTGTGTGTTTGTGTATTTTCCTGTTTATAATACCTATATGTATATTTATAATACTCCTCAGAGTATTTTGTGACTCAGGCATCAGATCTGATGCTGCAGAATCCAATATATGTGTATATGCATATGTTCAAATACTGTGTGTATATTTAAAAGATCTATTGTTGGTGGTCTGTAGAATAATTTTTCTCTTTACTCTCAAAATGTTAATGGCATTACTTGCAAAGACTAAATGTACAGTATTTTCCTACACTCCACCAAGATAGGTATTATTTATATCAAAGTCAAATATTGATATGCATTTTAAGGTATTACACATACGGTGTTGCCATTTTTGCAAATAAAACCACTTTTTGGCAGGAAGGAATCCTAAAAATACCTTTTCATAAGGTAATGACCCCCAACAAACGACTGCTGAAAACCCAGCTAGATGACTCCTGTTCTTGTATGACTTTTGTGGGAAGACCCCTTTCCAACTTTGAAATGATTCCTGCAGGGCCGCTGTTGTCCCTTTGGGCTCGTGGAGAGCATTGTAAAACAGAAATGGCAGCTGGCAGTGTTGGAGTTCACTGACTGCATAGAAGCAGAGATGGGTCCAGGCTACAAGCTCAGCCAGCCCCTCATGTTGGGGAGCCAGGGCTGTCAGCAGGGCTCAGCCCCATAGCGAAGGAGCGTGGTCCCGGGACACACAGGATTTGCACGGGATGCTGGTACCTGGTGTTTGTGATGTACCTGAGAGAAATGTGCATGCTCTAGATACTGTTTCCACTACTGGTTGTGCTCTGAGCAAAGCTATCTGGATCCCGCAGACTGGCAGGAACTATACTAAACACTTTGGTGATATTTGATGCGTGTCTGTTTACCATTTGGTTTCAAGAATCACCTTTGATTTCAAGGGTGGGGATGCCCTAAGAGTTTGTTCCAGAACCAGTTGGTTACAAGTGCACCTCTTATATATGCCTTACAAACTTCAGAGGCCATATTCAAAACAGGGTTTTATCAGTGTATGCAAGGGGGTGCAGCCCCTCTTCTCTTCCTCCCCAGGTCAAACAGAATGGACAGTTTTCACACATATCTACCTGTATAACCCTCTGTACCTCTCATAACTGGTCAATGACTGTAACAGGTTACATCAGGTGTTTTTTCTACATACTTTTTACACAAATTCTATGCGATTAATGTAACTTAATTCAATGCATCATTTTATTGTACTAGTTCTTAAGCTTGTCTTTATTTTTTTTCTAGGTGACTGTGGTTTCTTGTGATTTTTATTGTATAAATAAATGAGGTGGCTGTTGATGCTTACTCTCTGTTACTAAGAATTTTTACCTTTTTGGAAGAAAGCATTGCTATGAACTAATGAATTTAAAACGTCATTTACTCATTGTAAATACAGTATTGTGCAAAAAGCAAAAATGAAAAAAAAAAAAAAAAGCACCCGACCCTTTTCATTCATTTGAATTGCTAGTGTTAACTGAATTTTGTCTAGACACCATTTCTGTTGATGAAATAAAGACATATCATTATGTATTGTAAACCAACTTATCTTGACTCTGAAATCGCTGTCGCAATCCCTGGTTGCACGGGGTTGGAGCTGGCTGGGGGTGGCCTGGAGGTGGCTGACACAGTCTGGAGGATGCAGCCTATAACAGGACCTTCACTCATGTGGTTGCATTTCGGATTCACTCGATGTCTTTGATGCAGGGATCTGGTTATCTTTCATCTGATCAGAAGGTGTTTCATGGCAGAAATGAAAAAAGTTGGTTGGAAGATCAAACACTCTGCATCTATACCCACTCCCCTCATGCTTAAGGCAAATCTTCTAAGTCTTTGCTTTGTCTTGTAAAGTTTCAGTGAACGTGTACAATGGCAAGAAGGGAGGTTGGGGTTTATTATTTCCCCTTTATAGAAAACTTGGGAGAAATTGGAAGAGGTTTATGCAGAAACAAGGAAAAAAAAAAAAAGACAATATCTCTGAGAGTAACTCTAGCATTTTCTGAGTAAGGAACCTGTGCCACTGACCATTCATGCCACTTACACAGAATTAAATCCAGACAGGAAAAAAAGAGATGATGCCACCAGGCTGGGGAACTGCTTCTTGCATGGGGCTGGATGCAGCCTGAGCACCAGATCATGGCAGGAGAAGACCATGTGGCCCCTTTGGGGACCAGCATTTTATCACCAGATGAGCAACCGTATATCATGTGCCCTAGGCCAGTGCCCTAAGGGATGTTGGCTGCATCCTGTTTGGTTGACAGCACTGGATGCTGCTTGTGACTTTTCACCTGAAAATTCTCATGGCGGAAAAGCAGAAGTGCTGCTTCACAAAGTTCCCCAGTTTTCTGAGTCTCCCTGTCAAGCACATAAGAACACTTAACCACCCTCTCAAATCTGTATCCACTGCATATCATCACAGTCTGGGAGCAGGGCATGTGGTGTAGCAAGAGCTTCTCCATCCCTGGTCAGTTGTTGCTTACATTTAACGGCCACCATCTTACATGTTTTCCTTTTTTTGCTTTAAAAAACACTGCAATTTCAAGCAATCCTTGTTTGATTCCATTTTTTCCTGCTGGTCTACTGATCTTTCCTATAGAAGGCTTGTATCATTAAGGAAACTGGCAGAGCAAACAAGTTGTTCTTGCTACTGAAGTGGTGAGCACATCAATAGCAGATGCAAGCTACCACAAACTTGGCAAATAAGAGCAGCCA